GTTTAGGGTTTAGGATTTAGGACATAGGGTTTGGAGAGTCTGAGCCGTGCATAAGTAGAGCATATGAAGGAGAAGCTGGTCGGAAATACTTGCTTGCTTGCTCACCTCGTCTTCTTCTTCTTCGTCGCATCTTATCCTTCCTCTTATCCTATCATATCATATCATAGCATATCTTATCTTCTATTCCAGCACATCATATTATAACATAATGTATTATGTTATTGATTGTATTTGCCATACTTCTTTGATCGAATCACCCCCTGAACCTTAAACCTGAGACTCCGGCAAAGAACAGCCAGGACTTCGTGGAGGCCCAGAATGAGGAGGTGTCCCTGGATGCCGCCACGCATCTGGGCGTGCGGTTGAAGGGCGAGAAGCCAAGAGCCCAAGACCCCCTCATCAAGGAATATATGAGTTTCTGTTTGCACTGTAAACTAGGGCCCCTGTTAAGGTCCCCAAAATAGTATGGCACTCTTGTAAAAAGGAGCCTAAAAGGGAAATTTAGATAACTACCCATATCCCTAAACCATACTACCGAGCCCGGTCAGTTGACAGTGTAGCATTGGGTGATATTGCTGAAAGAAATTGGGGGCAATACACTCTACACCCTAAACCCTAAACCTAAACCCCTAAAGCCTAAACCCTCAAACCATTACACCGTAAACCCCTAAACAAACCCCTAAACCCCTAAACCCCTAAACCCAAAACCCTAAACCCTAAACCCTGCATTAAGGTTTAGGGTTTAGGGTTTAGGGTTTAGGGTTTAGGAGTTTTGAGTTAAGTGTACCATAGCTTAGGGTTTCCTATAAGGGTTGCTTTAAGAGTTCCATAAGGGTTCAGGGTTGAGGATTGTAGTCTAAGTTACCTAAGGATCTATAATCAGGAAGAATAAGGCTTCCTGCTTATGGTGACTTAAAGCTGAAACCCTAAACCCTAAACCCTAAACCCTAAACTCGTAGGGTCGGAATACATGGAAACACACCCCGAGGGTTCCTTTGAGGGTTCCTTTGAGTGTTCCTATGGGGTCTTCGGGTTTAGGGGGTCGGAAGACATGGAAACACCACCAACCCTTGTAGTTTCCAACATTGATGTCGTAGTATAGCAGTATACCCCTAAACCCTAAACCCAAAGCCCTGAACCTAAACCCTAAACCCTGAACCCTAAGCCCTAAACCCTAAACTGAGCGAGTCTTGGACCTCCTGCGAGAGAAAGGGCTAGTGCACTTAAAAAAAAACCTAAACCCCTAAACCCTAAACCTGGAACCCTAAGCCGGTAGAACCCTAAACCGGTAAGACTCTGTTCTAAACGCCGAAGGCCCATGTCCTGGCTATCCCGAGGCCCCCGAGTTTACAGCCCCCCGAAAACGCTCAAAGCCCCGATGCCTCCAAACCCAAAGCTGGGCCGGTTCAGGGTTTATGTTCAAGATTTAGGCTTTTTTTGCTATGGGTTCCGGGTTTATGTGTAGGATTTGTTTTTTTTTGCTATGGGTTCAGGGTTTATGTTTAGGATTAATAATTACCAAAACTATTTTGGGAGTTCGTATTCTACTTATAGTATCATATACCCCAAAGCCCTATCCAAATTATCAAGGCCACTGACAGTAGGGTTCAGGGTTCAGGTTTGAAGGTGGTATCAGAACCAACTCGAAGCTCCAAAAAAATTTGACAGGTACCTCTTGTAGGCCCTGTCCAAGCCCCAGTGTAGAAGACTTGGGGGACGGGGCTTGGATGCCAGATATGCTCATCCTGGGTTTAGGTAGGGCAGTTTAGGAGGTGGCATTGAAACCTCGCTGACTTTTTAAGCCCTCCGATCCTTAATGTCCTCAAGTCGAAGCGATGTCAGAGTGCTACAACCCTAAGCCCTACGTCCCAAACGAAGCCTCAAACCCTAAACTCTCCAGGGTTTCGGGCGTAATACAGAACCCTCAATTTGGTGGACCCTTTATAGAGACCTTAAAAAAACTCCCTACTCTCCTCATCAATAAGGCGGGCCTAAACCCTACTAAACCCTAAACCCTAAACCCTAAACCCTGAACCCTAAACCCTAAACCCTAAACCCTAAACCGTTAAGGTTTTGGGAGCCTTATAAACCCTGAGGAAAGATATCGCTGCCGTGGTGTTCTCTCCGGTGCCTGGGCGGAACGTAAGCTCTGCAGCCCTAGGGGGTTTAGGGTTCAGGGTTTAGGGATTAGGGGTTAGGGGGTTTAGTTTGGGTTAGGGGGTTTAGTTATTGTTTAGGGTTTAGGGTTTTAGGGGTTAGGGGTTAGGGGGTTTAGTTAGGGTTCAGGGTTTAGGGTTTAGGGGTTAGGGGTTAGGTGAGTTAGGGGGCTTAGTTAGGGTTTAGGGGTTTAGGGTTTAGGGTTTAGGGGGGTTAGGGGGCTTAGTTAGGGTTCAGGGTTTAGGGGTTGGGGGTTTAGTTCGGGTTTAGGGGTTTAGGGCTTTTCGGGTTTAGGGTTTTACGGGTTTAGGGTTCAGGGATTAGGGTTTAGGGGTCTAGATTTTAGGGTTTCAGGGTTTAGGGGTTAGGATAAACCCACAGAGCCCTTTATAGGTCGTCGGTAGGTGTTTATGGAGTCATGGGTTTGTGCAGGTATAATGGTGCTTCGAATTTGAACTAGCGGCTTTCTTGGGTTGTGGGGGTGCATTTAAGAAGTTTAGGGTTTAGGGTTTAGGGGTTTGGATTTAGGATTTAGGGTTTAGGGTTTAGAGTTTAGGGTTTAGGGTTTGGAGTTTAAAGTTTAGAGTTTAGGGTTTTGAGTTTAGGGTTTCGGGCTTAGAGTTTAGGGCCTTACCTGGTGCGAGGTATGGAAGCCCTGGAAGGGAGCATGAGAAATAGGTATCAGTTTTTGCGGAATGTGCAAAGGGATCCCTTTCACTCTTTCCCTACCTAGAACGAGGCAGCCGAAGTGCGGCGGAGTTTACGAACTTGCTACGGCCGTGCGTGGCCAGGATAAACGAAAATCTCTTTAGACCCTAAACCCTAAACCCTGAACCCTAGACCGGCAAAGAAGACGAAATGGTTCCATGCCGACAAGACCCAATGTACGTAAGGCAGCTACACAGAGTCTAACACACTCAACCACCTTTTACTCGCAGCTTTTCTTGTAAAGCCTGAGCTCCCATCCCTAAACTCAAACACGATCATTCCCCCGCGGTTGTTTGAAGACGAAGCCGTTCTGAACAAGTGCCACGCTCCCCCGGTATCCGTTCACCCCAAACTCCTGCAACAAAAACGATTTAAGATCCTGAGCTGAAACCCGAAACCCTAAACCCTAAACCCCCACAGGTCGTAAAGACCGGTGACTCTGAGATCCGGCAAGCTGTTCGTGCTTTTTTGACCATCCATGTGTTCTAAGAAACAAGTCGCGCTCCAAAATCGAATCCGTCAGCGGTACTAGTGGTTTTGGGTCTACGGTCTAGGGTTGGGTATCTAGGAACCTGGGCGCAAACTGTTCATTCAGATCTGCTGTGCTGGAAGTTGACGGTGAAGATGCCTGCCGGCAGGCGTTCAGGTCTTGTCAAGTGAGTGACGGTCGTAGCTGAGTCTTGAGAGAACTGCTCACAGTGGTACTAGAAGTAGTAACCTAAACTCTCAGTCATAAAGTTCAAACCCTAGACCCTAAGCTTTAAGTCATAAAATCCCCACATCCTCAGCCGTATGTCGTTGTTGCAGTTGCTTCCATGATATTCTCCATGCAAGGACGGCAACTTCCTTCAGGACCTGTTAATCGACGAGGGCGTCGCCGCCGTGGATGCCCTCTCACGGGCGGCTGCACTTCGGCACATGCGTTCCTGCAGGCTTAGGAGTCTGGAGGTCTGGGATTTTGGGTCCGTGGGCTTAGGGCTTTAGGGCTTTTTAGGGCTTTACGATTCAGTGCCGCAGGGTTTTAGGGTGTAGGGGTTTAGGGCTCAGGTTGTAGGGTTCAGGCGTTCTTTTTCCTCTGTCTAGAGTGTATATAGTATATATCTTTATATACACTACACATCGATAGATACATAAAAAGAAAAATAAGCATATATATATATGTATATAT